AAAAAAAAAAAAAAGTAAATGGGAAGAGACAAATCTGAGTACTGTATGTGGATGCTCTGCCCTCAAGAAGTAGAGCATGACAGCATGACCCCCCCCCGACCCCCAGAGTGTGGGCTCCACATAGTGACATCCTCCCAAAGAGAACAGTACACACACTGGGGAGAATGAACACGCCCCATACAGGGGTCAAGGTCTCGTCCTCGGTGATGAGTCACATTGAGAGCAGGGACCCTTGATGTGACGTGATGAGAAGGCCCTTCAGCTCTGTGGTCTTCCTCCCCAAACCCATCACCCAACATCACACACATCCCGATGGAGGGACTGCCCCAGAACCTCCCCCCAGAACTGCCAGGCCCCCCGAAACCAGGGACGTGAGAGAGGGCTCAGCCCAGAGGCAGGCGCCTGGGGAGACATGACGACCAGGGCAGAGAGAGGGTGTGACAGGAAAACCAAGGAAACCTGAACAGTGTGTGGACTTGTGTTAACAGCGAGCCAGACTGGTTCCTGATTTGTGACGCGCACAGCATGTCAACAGGAATCTTTCTTGCATCCGCTCACTCCCCTGCCCGGGACACTGGCCTCCCATTCTCTCCCGGTGTCACTTCCAGCCACTGCCTGCCTGGTCCTTGTCGCGCAGTGTGTGTCTTGTGTGGTGTGTCCCCGCGTGCGAGCACAGGTGTGTTGGGTTTCTCTTGCAGTGGGCATCCCCACCATCCGGTGGTGCGGGGCAGAGGGGGACTACAACGTCATGGTGATGGAGCTGTTGGGGCCGAGCCTGGAGGACCTGTTCAACTTCTGCTCAAGGAAATTCAGCCTCAAAACTGTCCTGCTGCTTGCTGACCAGATGGTAAGAATCATGTTTCTGAGGTGACAGGGAATCCTGGGCCCTCGGCACGTGCTTGGTGTGAGTCAGCAGTCTGACGGGACCTTCAGGTGCTATTCTCCTTCTATGCCTGTTAGTGCCCAGGGAGAGAGTGGGAGTGCATTCACCTCTGCGGCAGGAGCGTGACCGTGGGCTGGGTTTGGAGACATGTGTTTTTCCTGGCGGGCCCCTGCAGGAAGGACTGCTGGTGCAGACTCATCAGGGGGCGCTAGTGCTCTCAGGCTGCTGTCAGTCGACCTCCCCCCCCACCCCCGAGAGCCAACGAGGAAAACTGCCCCGGCCGGCTGGGGCTGTGAAACATGGTTCATTCAGCATCCTTCCCTGGTTGTGGAGTTACTCTGCTCTGGCCAAGGGCCGCAGGACATGCAGGTGAGGGCACAGCCCTCACTCTGCCAGGCAGGTGCCTTTCCCAAGGCTGCTGCTGGGATTTAATCTCTGGTCATTACTTCCTAACTACAGATTAGTCGCATCGAATACATTCATTCAAAGAACTTCATCCACCGAGATGTGAAGCCGGATAACTTTCTCATGGGGCTGGGGAAGAAGGGCAACCTGGTCTACATCATCGACTTTGGGCTGGCCAAGAAGTACCGGGACGCCAGGACCCACCAGCACATCCCCTACCGCGAGAACAAAAACCTCACCGGGACGGCGCGCTACGCCTCCATCAACACGCATCTTGGAATCGGTGAGCCCGTGGGTGGTGGGGTCTCCTGTGCCTCCGGCCACTAGGCTGCCTTGGGCGTAGCCATCTCCTAGAGAAAGGCCAGCCTCTTGGGGGACCCTGGGAGCGGTCAGCATGTTTGGCATGGAGGCTGGCTGTCCAGATCCTGGAAAATCCTTTGTGAGGTGTGGTGGGGGCAGGTCAACAGTTGGGCTTTCTGACAGTCCCTGTATCATTGGTGTCACTCATCCAGGGGTGTCACAGTTTCCTAGGGACACATCACGGGCAACTTCTGGTGAAACAAAGAATCCAAGAATATTTTTCTGTGGTTTTAAAAGTTCGTTTCCACAGTCAGAGTGCGCCTAGGGTCTTGGCTTTGCGGCAGCAGGTGCACACGTGCTGTCCTTGACCCATTTCCCGTCTTTTCCAGAACAATCTCGAAGAGATGACCTGGAGTCACTGGGCTATGTGCTCATGTACTTCAATCTGGGCTCTCTGCCCTGGCAGGGGCTGAAGGCAGCCACCAAGAGGCAGAAGTATGAGCGGATTAGCGAGAAGAAGATGTCCACCCCCATCGAAGTGCTGTGTAAAAGCTACCCCTGTGCGTGTCCTCAAGGGCAGGTGTCAGCCGGCCCGCGGTCTCAGGGCGGCGGTGGGGGGGCACTGGGAGACTGGCTCCCAGATGGTGAAGAGTATCCTTGAGCTGGTGGCAGCCTTCTGTCCCTGCTGCTCCTTTACCTTCCGGGGACCATGACCCAGGGAGTTGTCCTTGTTCCTGTGGAGAAGTGCCACAGGTGAAACCAAGCTGTGCTGTGTGGCACCGGCTTTTCTTAAACATTGGTTCCTCCCAATGTGACCAATGTTTCAGACGCCATGTCTCATGTCCTAAGCGTGCGGCAGCGGATGGTGGCAGTCAGGTCGACGGACACCCGGTCAGGTATTGCCATTTAGCGCTGAGTCTCTTGTCTTACAGCTGAGTTTGCCACGTACCTGAATTTCTGCCGTTCCTTGCGTTTTGACGACAAGCCTGACTACTCCTACCTGAGGCAGCTCTTCAGGAATCTCTTCCACCGCCAGGGCTTCTCCTATGACTACGTGTTCGACTGGAACATGCTCAAATTCGTAAGTGTGCCGCCAGCACGTTTACTTCTCAGCATAGAAGTCAGCCAAAGGCCTCTGCCAGACGAGGTGCAGGTTTTAGAAGGCACACTCACCGCATTGGGGGAGCCACGTGTACCTGCGAGGGCTGTGGCCTAGGTGGGGTCCACCCCAGGGTGGGAGATTCTGAGAAGCAAGATCCCTATCAAGGGAGAGCAGAGGCAGCACCATGTCAGTGCTGGGTCCCCTGGAGCCAGCGGAGTGGGTCTTCCAAATGCGGGTCTGCCTGGAACCAGGGCTCTTACTTGAGTGATAAGTCTTGAATTGGAAGGTACTTCTGTGATTGCTGTTGACATGGCTAGGAGCGCCGTGGTTTTGACTGCCCGTGGTGTTGAGGTGTGGCTCCAGAGTGTGTGTTACGCAGGAGGGTATGGCCAAGGCCAAGGGCTCTGGCCACGTGGAGTGACCTCCTGCCCCTCCTCCCTCTGACCCAGCCGTGCGGGTGAGCAAGCAAGGTGGGTGCCTGGAGAGGTGCTAGGCTGTGGTTGACTTTGGTGCCAGGCTTATTAAATGGGCACATGGGTATGTGCAGAACTTGAGCTTTGATGTTTTCTTCTCTAAATCCGGCCGCCCATCCCTGAGTCTTTTATAGGAGTCTAATTAATTAATTTTCAGACACTATCGCCAGAGACTTTCAGGGTTTTTTGGAACTTCTACTTTGTTTTTCATTATATATTTGTTCTATTCAGTTAGCTTAAAACAAATTGGAACCTTTCCAGGGTGACAAGATCTGACGGAGGAGCAGGACCTCCTCTTCAGAGGGCGTAAGACAGAAAGGCTTGTCCTGTGGCCTTGCCGGGGTGTCTGTGCAGGTCTGTGCCCTGCCGGGGAGAGCCAGGTGCCCCGCAGTGGGCTGGCTCAGGACGTGCAACCACCGATTGCCCAGAGTCTGGGCAACCTTCTGGCGTCGTTGCCCCCGCAGCAGGGCTGGCCCCCCTTCACTGGGCAGGGCGGGACAGTGAATCCTCTCAGCTTTGCAGCGTGCGTGTGGTGGGACCAGCACTCGGCTCTGCACTGCTGCTGGGAAGCCCCCACGGGCAGAGTGGGGTACAAGTGGGTGCGGCTGCAGCAATCACCTTTCATTTGCAGAAACTGATGGTGGCTGGATTTGGCTTGTGGGCTACAGTTTGCCGACTGTTGCGTTACAGCGCTGTTTGTTAGAACATGGCGGGTATCGTGCCCCAACTCGTCTGGGTCGTCATTTGCTCAAAGTGGAACTAGCTGTGGTGTCCACCACGCCGGACCTTCCACGGCAGACCTGGCCGCCTGCGTTCTTGTCACGTGGGCCCTGACCCAATATCTGCCTAGGCTGTCTGGGCTCTGGTTGGGCCCCCCGCTGACCAGATGACACCGCTTCTGTGTGCCTCTCGGATCCCCCGGATGCTAACACCTTGGGCCTGCCGCTAACCTGATCTCATATGATTTCCTATTTCTGTGTGGGTGCTCAGGGGGAAGAGGCCACCCAGGTGCCATCAGTATTTGAGGTTCAGGAGTGTTGGGAAGATCTTGTCCCCTCACTCACAGGGTCACGGGGCAGGTTGCTGTCCTAGAGGGACAGATGCCACCTCCCAGCCTGCTACATTGCTTGGATGGCTTCTCTGGCAGCGGGGGACAGCCGGGGCCCTTGGGTGGTTTTCCACCAAACCCCGTTCAGTCTGGTCTTACCCTGTTTCCTTTGTAGGGAGCCAGCCGGGCCGCTGATGACTCCGAGCGGGAGCGCCGGGACCGAGAGGAGCGGCTGCGGCACTCCCGAAACCCAGCCGCCCGCGGCCTCCCCTCCACGGCCTCTGGCCGCCTGCGGGGCACCCAGGAAGTGGCTCCTCCCACCCCCCTCACCCCTACCTCACACACTGGTGAGTGGGCTAGCCCCATGTCTCCCCAGCAGGCACTGAGGGTTTCTGGTTTGTGTGTTCGCTGCTCTGGCTGTTGGAGCTGCAGGGCCCCACACGGGCTTCAGGCGGGCACGCCTCGTGGGAGAGGCTGTGTGCGTCCGGTCCTAGTAAACTCTGGTTTCTGAGGATTGGCTGGCCAGGGGACATCTGTTTCTCTTTCTCTGTTGTTCTTCTTTCTCGTGACACGGATTGCTCCCTAGGAGCCTCTCAGTACCCACCCTTCCATCCCTCCACGAGTGGCATCGTAAGCACGGGGGCCTCGGGCTGCCCTCATGCTGGATTCCTGGTGCTTCGCTCCTGGGAAAGCCCGCCTGGAGCCAGCACGCTGGCGTCCCTGTGTGCTCCGTGGGCCCTGCCCACCACTGCTGACCTCGGAATCAGGGGTGCAAGCCAGCCAGGGGTCCGCCGCCTGTTGCCGCCCTGGAAATCCGATGTGTCGCGGCACCCACTCCTCTGGTGCTGGATGCCGAGACAGCTGAGGAGAGGCCCCCTCGCGCTGGGTGCGGGGTCTGTCCTGAGCCCTCACCGTCACCCCTGTCTCCCTCTCCAGCTAACACCTCTCCTCGGCCCGTGTCCGGTGTGGAAAGAGAGCGGAAAGTGAGTATGCGGCTGCACCGCGGCGCCCCTGTCAACATCTCGTCCTCCGATCTCACAGGCCGGCAAGACACCTCCCGCATGTCCACCTCACAGGTACGCGCACTGCACGGGTACGCGCTCTGGGCTCGCCGAGGTCCGGCCACTGCAGGCCGCGGGCCCCTCCATGTTTGGGCTGCTCATAGGGCGCCAAGCAGAGTGGGGTGCGGGTGATGAAGGGCTTCCTGCCTTTCTTTTCTTTCTCCCCCATTTCTGACTTTTAACTGGAGAGGAACATTCAGCCCCTCGGTTGGGAGCCTGAGGCGGTCTGTACGGACGAAGGGCTTGGCTCCCCAGCCGCACTGGTGCAGGTGACGGGGCTTTTTCTCTTCTGCTGCCATCCTCGCGGCCCCGGCCCCCTCTCCGAGCCAGCCCTGGAGGCTGGGCCGTCTTCCTCCGTCTTCCGGTGCAGACTGGAAATACCACGCTGCTCACACTGTGTTTGTCGTGGGCACACAGCCTGTGGGGCAGTGGCTGGAGGCCCCGTAAGGTGGCGTGGACAAGCCCGTTGGAGCCTGGCGCCCCATGATGCACCGCAAGTGAGGGTTCCCGTCTTCTGCAGTCCCTGCCCACTTGTCTTCTTTTGGACGAGGCAGCTGTCCTCAGGGAAATGGCTGGGTCGTGCGGGTCCCCTCCACTCAAACCCTTCTCTTCCCTCACTGGCTTTGGTGCCATGGTTCTTCTGCATTCGCTCATGTGCTCTTCACAGATGAGCTCTTTACACACACATGGACTTTCTTCCTCCTGTAGCTTTCAGACCCCTCTTCGAATGGCGGTGGGTCAGACAGAGGGCATTTCTCCTGCTGCAAGGGTCCTCGGGGGTGCCTGTGCCCCACAGTATCTGTTGGGTGGGCAGGCACTGGTTTTAGGAGCGCACTGGAAGCCTGCATCCTGGGCTGTGCACTCAGGCAGCACTGCTGTGGCTCACTGTGGCACCTCTCGTGGATGAGTTAGCGCTGGGCCCTGCTGTTGACACGCGCTTGGTGCTGGGCGTAGCTTGTTGGTGATTGGTGGGTCGAGCACGTTGGTTAGGAAAGCACAGGGTCTATGTGAACCACCCAGAACCTCAATTCTGTGGCGTCAGCTTGGTCTTCCAGCAGAGGAGAAAGTGTGTCCAGACAGAGAGGGTGCTCCTGACTTTTTATTTTAATCAAGTGAATGAATGGTTTCGTTTTGCTATAAATATAAACATTTCTGGTTTACCGCTAGTTCTGCCAGAAATGGGTTGGTTTTGTATAACTTTCTCCCAAAGAGACTAAGGGTGCAGGTAGTTTGAATTGTGGGGCTCAAGGAGTCTGGCCAGGGTCATGAGATTGGGCCCCTTATGGATCCCAGCCCCACACCCCTTCTCCTACCCCGCAGGACACAGGGCTACGGGCTTCTTCCCACAGGCTCTGGAATCCATGAATCAGCCGCTGGGAACAGGTCCTGGGCAGTGTCTGCCCACGCTTGACCGAGAACCCAGGCATACAGCCTGCTCTGGGGCCCTGAACACCTCAGTCAAGGACAGCTGGGGTCTGTGGATGTCACAGGCTCTGTCTGGACTCAGGATCCAGATGTTGGGCCTCCACCAGCAGAGGTGAAGGGAAGGGGCAAACTTAATTCTCTTTGAGGGAAAAGAAAGTATCTGGAGCGTTTGGGACCACTGAGGGAAATGAAAGGGTCAGAGAGCCTGCAACGGACCGCTGGGTCTGAGCCCAGCTTCTCCTTCATGGCGTGGCCAGCCTCAGCCTACACGCCCCAAGAGCCTTCCTGTGAACTCTTCCTTAGCTGAGGCGAGCTTGCAACTGAGAGTCTTGTGTCTTTGTTCTTCTTTTTGCTTTCCACGTGAAGAAGCAGTGTGGGACTAGACAGGAGGGAGGAGCCTCCAGAGATTTAATTTGGGGGTGTTTCCCCTCTGAAAGAAGCACCAGTCACTCTAGGGGGTTTCTTAGGACCTTTACGTTGAGGACACAGCCCCTGGGGGTGTGTCCCCAATGCACTCCCGTCCCAGAGATGACTTCCTCCTTTGGGTTTTCCTGCCCACCCAGCAGTGCTCTTTCTTAGGAGACTGCAGGGCAGCAAGAGACTCTCTCCAAGACTCTCAGCAAGGGGCTCTGCCCCGGTGGTTTGGAAGTCCCAGAAAGAGGGGAGTTGCTCCAGCTTCTGCTATTCTATAGCTTCTGTTGGGACTTTCTCCCAAAGAAAGTGGGGTGAAGGTAGAGCCAGTGAGGCCTCTATTAAGCGAGGCTGGCCCCGCCCTGCTGGGGCTGAGCCACATTCCGCCAGCTTCCTCTGTCGATACTCTCTCTGTCTCAGTTCTCTGTGCACTTTGAGGAGGAGATGTTGTGTCTTGTGCAGAGGTACCAAGTCCAAGGAAGTCATTCATCTTCAGCAAGAAGGTGCTCCGGCCACCGGCCAGCCTGTGGGAGGGCCCCACTGACCCTCTCCAGCTGGGTGTGGGGGAGGGCCGTGCTCCATGGGGGAGCACACCTGTGCTCTTGGTCCTGACCCCTCGGCCATGGTGCACTCCGACTTCTCAGGAGGGTGTCTGCTGCTCACCCTGACTTCCTTCTCAAGGGCGGCTTTATGCTAGACCACAGTCCCCACACTACCGACCCAGAGTGTGAGTCTGGCTTCTCAGCCAGAGCAGCATGGAGCCCAAAGAGCATCTGGTCAGTGAACCTACTGTGGGTTTTTCTCTTTGAGAAGAAAAGGCCTCCTGGGTCCAGTGCTCCTAGTAGAATTTGACTTAGTCTCTGAGCCAGTCACTCCTGTTGGTCGGTTGGTTGGTTGGCTTGCGTTCATGCTCCCAAAACAAGGCCTGCAGCCCCTTGGTCTTCTTGTGGTCCGTCCTCCCCTGGCCCGAGCGCAGGCCGCACTGGGCAGCGAGCAGGGCCTCGGGGAGGGGCCAGTGGAGGGCTGCCATCTGGATGTCAGGTTTGCTCACTGCCTGGCCCCTTGTGAGCCTAGAGGAGCAGCAGCAGCTGCTCTCGTTTGGGGGCCACTCGCTAGGTTCCTGGGGTCCCCTGTGAGGCAGCATGGCCAGTGCCGGACCTGGCTGAAGCGAGATGAGGAAGGCCTCAGTGGTGGTTGCCAGCAGAGCCCTTACCAACAGCTCTCTTTTCCCCCCACCTCAGAATAGCATTCCTTTCGAACACCACGGCAAGTAGCTGCACGTCTCCCCGTTGGAAGGCAGCACCGGTGAGTGTGCTCATGTCGGGTCTTGTCAGACGGCAGGCGCCGGGCGGGGCGGGCGCTGACCACCCCCGAGTCCACCGCCGGGCTGCGCAGGTGGGACCGGGCTTGCATGCCAGGTGCTGCCGGGAGAGTGTGGTCCCTCCGCCCAGTGCTTCTCCTCGCGTGGATTGCAGAGCAGCCCTGCTCGGTCACCCAGTCTGGGGGCGAGCAGACCAGAGAGTCTACAGACGGGGTGGCCCCAGGACCCTGCCCACCGTTGGCTGGCCGTTGGTCCTGGGGCACTCTTGAGGGTCCGGGGCCCGTGGTGGGAGCAGAAGCCCAGGGCTCTGCACTTGCGCTCGGCTCCAGTGGTCCCAGGACACTCGAGCCGCCTGGCCCGGGGTCCGCTGCGGGGCGTGTGTCGTATGGTGCTCAGCTGAGCGGGCCGTGCTTGGTGGGGGCTCTTGCGCTCTTGCTGCGGGAGTCTCCTGGTGGTCTCTGCCGCCCTGGCTTTGTCATTCTCTTCTTTCGCATTTATTTCTGTCCTCGTTTGTTTTTCTTTCCGAGCTCGGTCTCTGCTCAGCGTCCCATCCATGCTGCCGTCTGTATTAACCCGTCAGCCACAGCGCCCGCTCCCCTGCCGTTGGCGCATGGCTGGGCGTCCGAGCCGGGTTCCCTCTCGTCGGGGACGCTGCGGCCCCTCCCGCTCAGGGCTTGCCGCTGCTGGGTTCCACACCGCTGGGAGACGGCCACAGGTCCAGCGTGACTGCGTTCTCAGGGGCACCTTGACGGGAGCTGCTTTCCACGCCTCCCCCCACAGGGAGCCCCGGGGCCCACACAGCGCCCGGTCCTGGCTCTCACAACCCCAGGTTACTTTCCAGGAAGGAGTGCCAGGAGCAAGTACTTCTTCCAGCTTGGACTCTGTCTGGTCCGATCGTTCTTGGGCTTCTAGCTCCGTGGCCACCCGGCCTCCTTGCTTGCATGCATCTTCCTCCTTCCCCCTCTTTCTGTCACTTGTTCTGCTGAGCACGTGGCCTGGCCGCTGAGGGGCTGTCCAGAGTGGCCGGGGTACGGGCGTCCGGAGTAGGGCTGGGCAGCATCTATGTCCCCTCGCCGTCACTGGTGTTCTGTGCCCGAGCCTGACCGACCAGCCCCATGCCTCTGGCCTCATGCTGACCTTCTCCTGTGCTTTGGCTCCGACAGATTCCCGGTCGGGTGGCTTCCAGTGGTCTTCAGTCTGTGGTGCACCGATGAGAACTCTCCTTTTTGCTGTGAAGGGCAGACAATGCATGGCTGATCTACTCTGTTACAATGGCTTTACTAGTGACGCGCCCCCCGGTCTAGAACCGAAATGTTAACACCGGGAGCTCTCCAGGCCGCCCACCCAGCGACGCCCGTGGGGGAAACAAAAACTAAACCAGACAGACTCCAAAGCGCTGCCGTGACAGGGGCTGCACCGCGGGCCCCCCACGTGGACTCGGTTGTCGCGGGCTGGGAAGAAAAGCAGAGTGAGAGAGACAGTTGCAGAGAGAACCAAACTCCCGCTCCAGAGCCTTTCAGTTCCCCTCCAGTGGCGGTGCGCCCCGCTCCCTGACAAGCCTACTGTAACCACCGATCTTCTACTTGGTTAAGACAGTTTTGTATCATTTTGCTAAAAATTACTGGCTTAAATCTGTGTAAAGAAATCTGTCTTTTTATTGTTTCTTTCTTGTCTGTTTTTGCGGTCTCAAACCCGATGTTGACTTCAGCGAGCCCTGGGACAAAGGCCGGTGTGGAGTTTCTGTGCAGGGCAGCGCGTCGGGGCAGCGCGCGGGCGCCCGTCCTCTGCTTTGTGGCCCCTTTGTCGAGTGGCCCGCTGTGGAGAGGGGCTTCCCACCGGAAGTGCTGTCCCGTGTAGACGTGTGTGTAAGTGACGTGTGTGCCGTGTGTCCTGTGGCCTCATTACGCTGGTTTTGGCTGTCACCATCCCTTCCCACCTCGCCAGATTGCCTGCACGGCGCGGTCCTCAGAGCAGTTAGCGGCACCGCGCACCAGAGTCTGCTGGAACGGCGAGAAGGGAGCCGAGCACGGACGACCTCAGAAGCCAAGGCTTTTTGCATGGGCGTCGCTGGTCCCTCTGGAGAGGATTTTGAACCCAGAGACATCAGGCCCCTCCTTGGGGTCACGTGTGGTTATTTTGGTGGTGGTGTTGCCTCAGTGTCTTTGGATTTGGGAAATTTTCTAAACCGACTGTAAACGTGAACAGTGTAGATTGGCCCTCGCTGTGTGTGTGAGTCTGTGTGCTCAGAACCGAGGACGTGGCCGTCTGCGTTGTGCCAGGCTTAACCACAGCGGCCTCGGGCCCAAGGGGATCCACCCTGAAGTGCCAAGAAGCTGGTGGCTCAACTGGTCGTCCAGGAGGGTGCAGCGTCACACGCTTCCTTCCACGACCATCGTTGGGACGTGGCGAACCCCACAGGGGTCAAGAAGCGGGGCGGGGCTGAGTCTTGCAAGAAAGACCCTCGGGGCCACTGGGCCGCGGGTGGTTTTCCAGGACGCTCCCTCGTTTTGTAGCAGGCAGCGGCACCAAGCGGTGGTGGCAACCAGTAGCTGGGAGTGCCCCCCCTGGCCCCCCTGTTGTGGGAAACAAGGTGCAATAATTGGTATCCGTGGGTACGTCCACCTCTCCTCCTGTCACCCTGCTGCAGAGTGCTCTGTTTGGAGACCGGGGCGCTCGCAGCAAGTGAGGGGCCTAGAGGCGTCCATGTCACTGTTTCTCCCCTTCCTGCCTCCTCGGGCCCCTAGCACGGGAGCGCCAGTCCCAGGACACCCTGACTGGTGTGTGCTGACGGCACAGAGTGTGGCTGTGCGCTGCTTTGGGAGTCCTGAGCAGGCTACCCTGTGTTTTGGGGTGCAGGGACTTGGCCAAGTGGGGCTGTGTTTCTGGGAGCGCAGTGCAAGCCTGGGCGGGTCAGGGCAAGTTGGGGGCTTTGTTGTGACCCAGGGCCCTCTTCAGAGGCAGGCCCGCCCCTGCCGGCGAGGTGTTAGCAGCTGCACCCACCGACGGAGTGCCGGAGACCGCTGGGGCGGCCTTCCCTCGCTCCGCGTCTGGGCTTCGACCTGAAATTGCTGGATGCTTGTTTGAGAGGTGGGCCCAGACCCTGGGCCCTCAGCTGTGCGGCCGTCCGTGTGTCCATCCGTGCGTGCACACTTGCTGCCCTCCCACTGCCGGAAATGTAGTTGCCACGTCTGTATCAACCTGTGTATTGGTGGCCAGTCTCTGACTCGGCACGTTTGTGTGATCACTGCATTTATGTGCTTAACCACCGTGTAAATAATAAACCCGTGATGACTTCTACCTTTCCTCCCTGCCCTCCACTGCTCTTTATTTCGTAGTCAGAGAGGTGTCAGTGCGTGTAGGTTAGCCAGGTGAAAACTGATCTGAGACGGGGCGTTCGTGTCCTCCCGTGGCCCAGCGGTGCTCTGTGTATAAGCTGGTCGGCAGCAGGCCGCAGGGACAGGCCGCCCCTTCCCCAGAGCTGACGCCCGTGTAGGCCATCCACAAGCGCCAGTCCCTTCTCTGGCTTAAGCACCTTCGCGGGGCAGGCACCTGAGCTCTGTGGGCCTCGGCGCAGCCCGGAAGGAAGTACTATACCTGCCTTGAGTATTCTGGGGAGCAAGCAGCGCTCCGGGTGCCATGGAGGGGCGCGTGTGGCTCCTGTGAGGCGGCTGTCAGCCCCAGTCCCCGTGAGGGGCCAGCAGACGTGCCCTGAGCCTGGGGCTCCGTTGTCGCCTGCCCGTCCTCACCCCAGCCCTAGCTCTGTGGCTCCCGGGGGGGCTCATCCCTTTGTTGTACTCGTAGCCTTGGCTTCCCCCTCCTACTTGAGCTGTGGAAGCCCCCAGGAGCCTCAGACCCCCCGAACAGGAATATGTGGGGCTGGCCCATGGTGCCTGGGGGTGTCCTGGAGGGTGCAGGCCCCGAGTCCCTGCCCTTGGGCTCAGGCATTCCCCTTCCTGCCACTGGCTGAGCCCAGTGGGCTCTGAGGCTCTGGAACAGGGCTGGGCTCTTCCTTGGCCCTCAGCCCTTCTCACTTAGCTGCCCGCATTGGGAAGGCAGCATTCAGTCTCCTTGCTGCTCCCCCCAGCTGCCAACCCTTGCACCCAGCCAAAGTGCCAGTGACACGAGCCCCAAGCTGCCCTCCTCTGTTGTGCCGGGAGGGGGCTGCAGGCAGGACGGGGACCACCGCACTGCCTTCTGCCCAGAGCCCGCCTGTCCCGCTCTTGGTCCCTCGGTGCCAAGAGACACGCACTGGCTGCCCCCATCTTCCTGACGCAGGGTCCAGCCCTGGGGCCAGATGGCAGGCTCCGCGTTCAGGAGTATGTGCCTTCCAGTCCGCCTCCAGCTCCCACTCCCTCCAGGCCTCGCCCCCACCCAGAGGGCTGTTTGGATCCCCTTCTGGAAGCCCCTACACCCTGCTTTTTGTCCTGCTCCTAGCTCTGTCTGGCGGGCCCTCTGGAGGCAGTGCCCTCCGTGCTGCTGCACCAGTACAGGTGTGTTCGAGGTCCCAGGAGAGTGTCCGCCAGGGTCTGCGTCCTCAAGGCCATGACTTGGATGCTGGGAAGGGCTGGACAGTCCTTCACGACCCCCACTAGTGGGCCGCTGCAGGTCCTGGGCAGTGGCCTTCCGAAGCATCACTGGCAGATCCCCCGGGCACCCCCAATTTGGGGCCCACATGTGTGTAGCAGGTGCCCCCAGGTCTGACCAGGCTAGGGCCAACAGCCCGGGGTGGTTTGGGGTGATGTGTGCATGCCCACCAGAGGGGGCTCGGTACAGGCATCTGCATCACTCGGCGGGAGGGTGGGCTTCAAAGGTGCAGGCCGTGAGCCTCCTCTGGCACAGACGTCTGGAGGGTGAGGAACTGCCCCATCCATGGCCCCCCCGAGCGCTGACTGCTCTCCTGGACTCCTGTGAGGGAGGAGGCCTCAGCCCATAGTAGCCACAGCTTCCTGAGGACAGCAGGTTTCATTTCTCCTATGTCAGGCCCAGCCGGAAACATCTGGAACCAAAACCTAGGCAGACAAGACCTGCCTGCTCACCCTTGGGCCTCGAACCCCAGCCTCCAGTCTGGGGCGGAGGTGTTGATAACGTGGGCAGGTCCCTGGGTCCACCTAGCATGTCCACCGAGGTGCCAGCTAAGGGACAGACGGGCCCGTGTTCCTAAGGCCAAGGGAGGGTGGCAGAACTCTTGCTCAACCTGGAGCACGTGCAGGTGTGCTTACGTGGACCCCAGCCCCTGGGCCAGCTGCGCATCCTGCCTTGATGGGCAGTTGGAGCAACTCTGACATGCTGACCATCTCAGAACGGCTTGATACTAAGTGTCCCCAGAGCAGGACTGGCCCTCATGCTGGGGCCAGGCCTTCGGGCACAGGCTTGGAGACCGGCGAGGACGCACACTTCTGTTGCTCCTGGCCGGCAGCAGGGAAGCTAGGAGGGCAAGGGTCGGGGACAGTGCAGTGTGAGGGCCGGAAGCCAGGTGGAGCTTGTACGGCAGAGAAGGGCCCTGCAAGGGCTATGCCTCGACCCCTGCAGCTGCTAGCACCACCACAGCCCAGGCCTGCAGCAGAGGGTCCAGGCAGACCAGGAAGGGCGTCGGGGGTTCCCAGGGCCCCGGGGCTATGGGCCAGCGCTGCAGGCGGGTGCCTGGTTCGTCCGCACAGCTTGAGGGGCAGGTGGAGGCGGGAGAGCCCCCTCAGGGGTGACATCTCTGGGAGGGACAAGATGTGAGCTTTCACTTGCTTTTCATTGCAGAGGAGCAGGGACGTGGCATCTCTCCGGCTGCATGCGGCCCGCCAGGGTGCCCGCTGCCGTCCCCAGCGCCCGCGACGCACCACCTACTGAGGCGGCCCCAGCAGCCTCCGACCGGGCTCCCAGCCACACAGGCCACCACTGGCCACGAGGGCAGGTGGGTGTGAGGTACCCGGGGCGAGGCCAAGCAGGGCTGGACAAGGAGGACGGGAGCAGATGCCCACCCTGGGCACTGACCGCGTAGGGCCACGATCCGCCGAGGGGTGAATAAATGGAAGGCAGGAAGATCATTTTCTTTAAACACACACACAGTGAACTAGAATCACACGTATGTCTCAGCTTAAGTGCACGTGCCTTGTAGGGGGCTTCCGAGCATGGCCACACCCCTGCAGCACGGCCCCCTTCCCTGCCAGCCACCGGGGCCCTGTGTGGACACTGAGCCGTCTGGGCCCCAGCAGGGCAGGGTTCAAAACCAGCAGCTTAGAAAGCTGACCCGGCTGACAAGGGCCAGAGCCACTCTGTAAAAACCACCAGATTGTTGAGAAAAGGAATTTGGAGTGAACAGACCCCTACCCCACGTAGAAAAACACCCCAGCTCCTTGAAGACATTCCTTCCAAGGTGGCTCCTCCCACACGCAGGTTTATTTCAGACCTTCAGAGGCAAAGGGAGGGAGTTTGGTTCCCCAGGCACCCCGCGAGGGGCGGGCTGGGGCGCCGTGGTAGAGACGGCAGGATGGGGCGCAGCCAGCCGCTTGGGGAGGCCCCCTCCCGAGACGGTGCCGCTCGGCCGGCTCTCCCCAGCCTTGCCCTCTGATGCCCGCTGTGTTGTCTCTGAAGCATGGGTTTCTAGGTCCCTGAGCTCAGCGGTGGGCACCGGGCTGCTCCGGGGTCAGCCGGCTGGTTCCCTGGTGCAGACAGCTCATAACCTCGCGGCTCGGCTTCACCACAGTTTGGAATGACACGGTTCCCAGCCCACCACCTCCCCGGAGAAACACGGATGGTCAAGCTAGTCCTGTTTGTGAAATAAACATGAGCGTTGAAGTCTCTGTCCGGTTCCGTCACCCCCACTGGCCTCCTGGGCTCAGACGCTTGTTTCTGGGGTGTGAACGACCTCCCCGTTTTTCTCGGGCTCTGCTTTCAGGAAGTGCTCCACCTCCCGAGAGTCCACCCTCACGTCCGCGGGGGGCTTGTGGCGCTCCTCTTCCTCCACGGCCGCCTCGGGCCTCCTCCTAATGCAGAAGTTGCCCAGCACCAGCACGAGGGAGGAGGCCAGCACCTCGGCCCCTGCCAGGACAAACACGTACTGGTAGACGTGCGTCGCATCCAGGAGCTTGCCTGCAAAGGGGTGACAGCGTCAGCCCGGGCTGAAGGTCACCCGCATGGTCACCAGCTACTTGTACGCCACTGTGCTGTTGGGGACAGCCTGGAGGCACCCTGTCCCAGCCTCCCCCGTGCCCCCAGGCAGCACAGACCGGGAGGCTTGGAGGAGGCTTTGGAGCCGAGCAGGTGCAGGAAGCAGTCTCAGGGTGAGCGCCTCGTCTGAGGCACCTGGAGGTAACCTGACCACACTGTCACTGGAGGCCTCTTCACCCGTGGCCCTCACAGGAACGCTTAGGCCCCAGAAGGGCCCCAGGACCACGAGGCAAACCCCGGGCGCTCACCGGGTCCCATGGGGGGGTGCCTACAGAGACAGCTGGAGAGACCCAGGCCGGGCTGCCCACCTAGCCCACGCCCCAGGATTTTCTCAGCTTCACAGAGAAGAGCAAAAGCCGAGCATAACGGAAGCTGACCCCCACCGCGGCTGTGAGCTGGCCCATGTGCGTGGATGTTAGCGCCCTCAGGATTCACGCACATGCCAGCCGTTGGCCCAGGGGGTGGGTGTGGCCGGTGCTCACTCCTGACACCTGCTGGCCACCTGGGCAGGGGTCCCTGCAGCTAAGAGCCCTCCTGCGGTGGGTCCCCCTCCCCCAAGAAGGCTTTCTCCCGGCTGCGTCCCACCACTCACCTCCTGATGGGGGCCCAATGAGCACGGCAATGGCCTCCAGCAGTAGCACAAGGCCAATGGCACTGGAGAACTTCTGGGTGCCCACGATAGCCATGAGCACCTCGAACTGCAAGGCCCCCACCATGCCGTAAGAGATGCCGAAGAAGATGCAGAAGACCACCAGGCCTCCGTAGTCGCTGGCCGTGGACCCCGTGAGGTCAGTGAAGCCATTGAAGAACATGGAGAAGCTGAAGAGGTAGACGGAGTAGGGCCGCACCTTCTTAAGGCCTGTGATGAAGCCAGCGGTGGGCCGGGCAAAGATGTCGACGAAGCCCAGCACAGTGAGCAGGAAGGCAGCCTGGGTGTCGGGCACACCCAGGTCCTTGGCATAGCTCACCACAAACACGGGGGGCACAAAGAGCCCCAGCACCATGATGGAAGCGGCCATGGCGTAGATGACAAAGCCACGGTCCCTGAAGACGCTCAGGTCCAGCAGCCGCCGGGATGGCCGCTGGGGCGCAGGCCCCGAACCCGGCCTGGGCGCCTCCAGGGGCCTCATGAGCGCGGCGCACACGCAGCAGTTGAGCAGGAGGCCCCCCAGGATGAGGAAGCCACCCCGCCAGCCGTAGTGGTCCTGCAGCAGCTGCCCCAGTGGGGACAGGGCGCACAGGAAGACAGGGCTGCCCGCGGCTGCCAGCCCGTTGGCCATGGGGCGCCTCTTGTTAAAGTAGCGGTTGAGCATGATGAGTGACGGCTGGAAGTTGAGTGCCAAACCCAAGCCTGCGGGAGGGGCAGGCGGGTGAGGCATCATGCCAGCCTGCCCGGCCCCTTGTCCCTGTCCCCCATTTTCCACCCTAAAGTTCTAGGTGAGGGTCTGCAGGTGTCCACGTGAGGGGACCCAGTGTGTGTCCAAAGCCCCTGTCACCAGCTGACGTGCCAAGAGAGACCAGTGGGGAATGGGGGACAGACTGATGCCAGGGCTGGAGGCAATCCGCAGCTGCCCGCTCCTGAGAGGCCCTGCTCTGGGTACAGTGCCCCAGTATCCAGCCACCTGAGCCGTTGCACCCGGCCACGGAGGGGCCAGCATGCCATGGCCTGCCCTGCCCCCGGCCGGGCCCCACTCACCGGTAATGACCCCAGTGGTGAGGTAGAGCTGGATGATGCTTCTGCAGAAGGACGCAGCCACCATGCCCAGGGACGCCAGGAGGCCACCCGTGAGCATGACGGGCCGGCAGCCAAAGCGGTTCACGCACACGCTGCAGAGTGGGCCTGTGGGGGGCGGGGGCACAGGGTTGGGCCCAGTCTCTCCACGCTCACGGAGACCTGGCCCGGCCCTCCCCTGATGCCCCCCGCCCTGCTCAGCAGATAACACCAGGAGCCCCGGGGGGGGGGGAACGAGAGTCACACTCAAACGCCTTCCTGAGCAAAGCACGGTTCACAGTGAAATGTCCTGCACAGACTCGGCCTGTGCCCAGGTTGGCCCTGTGGGGAGCCATGGCTTTTGGGCAGGAGCCCTCCAGAGCTCCCCTGTAGGCACCCTGGAACCCGGGCCGCAGACACCGGATGCTCCTGCCAGTGCCCCCCAGGCCTTTTTGCTGGTGTGTGAAGCTCTTAACCAGAGCTGCCCTTGATGAACTCCAGAGGTGACCACTGGGTGTGACAGCGCCGTACCTGTCCCGTACAACATGGCCAGCAGGATGGAGGAGATCCAGGCTGTGTCGCTGTAACCGATTCCAAACTCACGCATGAGCTCCTTGAAGAAGACGCTGACCGCCTTGGGGAAGGCGTAGGAGAAGCCCGTGATGACGAAGCAGCCAAAGAGAACGGCCCAGCCCCAGCCCCCATCAGGGGCCTTGATGCCCGTGGGGCCCTCATCAACCACGGCACCACCCATGGCCAGGAGAGCGGGTTGTGCGTCCCTGAGGAAGGAAGTCAAGCTGACTCAGTTGTCCGGCCTCGGCCACAGCAGGGCCCTGCTGCCCGAGCTACCTGACAGCCCTGCCTCTGGCCCCCACCTGCCTTGGGCGCAGGGCGGGAGGGTCTGGGCTGACCGGCAGCTGCAGCCCTTCCTCCCACCCCCGCTCAGGCCTGGCCTGCTCCCACCCAGCTGGCTCTAAAGGGCAGTGGCTTTTTTGGGCTCAGCACAGTCTCAGGTTACCTCCTGAGGAGGACAGACCCCAGCAGGGCCATCAGCCCAGCCCAGCCGGTCCTCCCGCCTGACCCCGTGTGGGGAAACAGGCTGCACTTCCCGTCCACTGTGGGCAGGTCCTGTGAGAGGGGGCCTGGGGTGGTGTCCCTGGGGGCCTAATCTAGCTGTGGCCAGCGGTGCTTTCCCACCCGCAGGGGAGCGGGGCTCCCGATTCTGTTCTCTGTTGCACTGCCCCCTGAGTGAGAGCCTGAGGAAGCGGGGCGGGCAGGCCGGAGTGGGGGGCGGCGGGCAGGCATTACTGCAGAGGACGCCCCCTGTGCCCTCTGGCGAAGGAGGGACTCCTCCCTCCCAGTTATCCACAGGCTGCAGGTCTTCCAGGAGAGCTGGGCGGGTGGGGGGAGGGGGTCTCTGCAGATCAAGGAAGGGGAGACCCCAGGTGGGCAGCAGGGCTGAATGAAGGGATAGGTGGGCAGGCCAGGCTGCTAAGGCGAGGAGGGTGCTGCCTGTGCCCACTGTTGGCCCGAAACCCCCCAGCAGCCCCGGGCCCACTTCCTGCCCAAGCCACAGCTTAGCCCCATTGAGGCACAGTAACTTGCAATGCTGGGACCAGACGTCCAGCTGGAGACCCCAGCCTCCCCTCTTCATCCCTCACCTCCACCTGATCCTAGCACCGGAAATCCCCTAATCCCAGAGAGGAGGCCGGTGGCTGGTCCCCCCAGCTCACCGGACAGAGGCTGTTTCCAGAAGAGTGCCCTCAGTCCAGGTGTGGGGAAGGGAGGGCAGCCCCCGGGGCCTGGGCCTGTTGGATCCAGCCCGCTCCGCTGCCTGCTGCAGCAGGGCCACTCCCCACCAGGGTGTGCGAAAGACCAGTTCTGGGGGAAATAAGTCCCGATGGGGAGCATTTGCCAGGTCTGTGGTGTAAACGCTCCACCTACCCGGATGTCCAGGAACGTCCCAACCAGGAGGCTGCACAGCCCCAGTGCCAGCCACCTGGCTCCACCCCCCGTCCCCTTTCCAACATCATCCTTGACCTTACCAAGCCCCCTGGGTGGCCCATTTTCCTCAGTGCCCGGCCCTTGGGAGTGCAGGGTCAGCGGAGGGGGAGGAGGAATGTGGAGAGTAACCCCCCCGCCAGCCTCCACCCTGCCCCTGCCCCCAGCATCACAGCCACAGGTGCCATGCACCTGACTCTGTTGCCTGGGGGGGTCTGGACTCCAATTCAGGGGTGTGTCATGTGTTAGGGGTGTTTGGGTGATTCCAAGCAGCAGCTGCTGTCGAAGAGAACCTCCATTAGATGACGGGTCCCCAGGAGCCAGCTGGCTGCCAGGCCGACACAGCCCACTGGAGCAGAGCGCAGCCCCGGCTCCCACCCCAGGCTGGGCCAGGCTTCACAGCCACGGGCACCGCGTCTGGGAAACCCAAGAGACAAGCTCTCCTCTCCCTGGGCTCCCAGACCCCATGCCCTCTGGCACGGCCCCCCCCACTCCCCACCGGCTCTCCCGAGTGCTCAGAAGGCTCGTGGACCGGAGAGCAAGATGCAGGGTGTGACTGAGGCCAAGGGCTGCGCAGCCCCCGGGGGGCACAGCTGAGAGGTTCACGGGGGCACCCAGACCAAGGAAGCCTCTGGTCCTGCAGACGTGCCCACAGCCCCCCAAGGTGGCCCATTTTTGCATCTAAGGCATCCCTGGAACCCAGGACTGGACTCTGCCTGGGTAGTCTGGCCTCACCCCCGGGTTCTGCCCTCCAGATCCCTGCCTCGGACTGCAGCCATGTGCCTGAGGCTGGGATGGAACACGGGGGCGAGCGCCATCCCACAGCCAAAACACACAGGGTGTGGACACCAAGCAGAGGTATCCCCCACCCTCATTAGCGTCAAGCTTCAAAGGTTCCTGAGGTACAAGCAGCAGGGAAACTTAATAAAAACCCCCCAAATACATCTTAGGAATATGTCAGGGTGCAGTGATACTGTTTAAGGCAGAAAGCACAAACCCCAGACCCAGGTCAGAGGACAGGGGTGGGGGCCATGGGGGCCCTGAGGGGCTAGTTGTCCCCACAACTCTGGCTTGTCTTGGGTTATGGGTTTACAGACGTTTATCGATTTTTTAAAAATAAAGTAAGTGGGTCATGCAAAGGCTAAAGCGGGAAGTGTGTCTGAAACCAAAAATTAGCAGCAGCTCAGCTCTGTAACCCCAGGGTCACAGAAGAACCCGGGGCCCCCTCTGAGACATCCTTGGCTGCACCAGCCACAGCCGGCGCTCACCAGAGGAACAGGAGCCCCCAGCCTCTGATGCCCCGTTCTCTGCTCATCTGCTGCTCGCCAGGGCTGGACCCCCCGCCCAGAGGCTGCCCTGGTCTTCAGGAGACAGATGCTGGCCACCCGTGGGACCCAGGGCATCCCCCGAGCCAGCACCCAGGAGGGTGAGGGGGTAGAGGAGTAGGTGCCACGGCCTAGCGGCCAGGACCTGTGTGGGCCACCGGAGGCCCACATGGGGAGCATGGCCCTCGCTCTCACCCACCCCTAGGGGCCCCAGAGGGTTCTTCAGACACTTTCCTCCCAGCTAACCCCCAGCCTGGGGTGCCAGCCAGGCTAAAACCCTCCCTGTTCCCCACACCAGCCCGTCCTCAAAGTGAGGTTTCTCAGCAAGGGAAGGGAATGGGTGGGGCCTCCAGGTTTGGAGCAAAAGCGTTTTGCCCAGAAGGGCTTTGCAAATGTGGGGGGGGGCGGGGGGAGGTAGAGACGGGGCTGGGATTTCCAAGAGCAAAATGGCCTTGTCAGCCAAGCTTGCCCTGGGGGAGGAAGGCTGGCAAAGGCCCAGACTGGCGGATGTTCTCAGGACAGCCCTGCCACCGGCCCTCTAGAGCCAAGATGGGAGGCGTGGCCCCTCTGGGGGCTGTTCGGGGGCCCTCGCTGCAGTGCAGGGGAAGGTGGTGGCAGCCCGTCTGTGGGTACACACCAGCCAGCTGGCCTTGCGATGACATTACCCTCCCGGGGAAGCATGAGAACCACGTCCCCAGCCCAGAAATAACCCGCCCTTGGGGCCTCAGAAAGCTGATCTCCCTGGTGGGGTGTGTGTGCCCGCTTGAGGGTCAGGTGAGGCTCCAGCAGCTGCCCCCCCACCACTTCCCAAAAAGGTCCCACCGCCCCAGGCAGCTGGGAGCTGCAGAGGTGGGCCCAAGGGGGCGTGTGCACGGGGATCCCTTGGAACGCCCCGTGCAGCAGACCTCACACATCGGGGCCCTCGTGCTCTCCCAAATCAAGGGCTTCTGCTAGCTTCTCCCTCAGCGGTCCACTGGCTGGCGGAACCCCAGCTGGGGTCAGCACTCCAGACCCCAGACCCTGAGCCAGCCTGGCCTCCTGCCAGGCCTGTTCTCCAGCATCACCCCCTCCCCAGTGTCCCCTTTCTCTGCCTACTCTGCTCCACTGGGCGTTGAAATGCCCCACCCCACCCACTGCATCTCCACCCGGAGGGCTAGCGCAAAACTCGCACAAACAACCTGACCCCTCACAGCCCTGGCCTTGGCCAGCCCCACATCTTTTTGGCTTCACCCATTTCCAGAACCCCTCCTGTGGTTTCACTCCAGGCTGTAGACCCACTGCCGTCCCCAGTGCACTCTGGCATGCTCCCCATTAGACCTCTGTGCCAGAGGTCCTCGCACCCACCTTGGATCCTGGGTCTCTGGCCTGTCAGGTTCCAGGGCAGGCCATGTCCCCTAGGTTCAGTGTGGTGACCTCCGACTCTAGAGCCTGTGGCCTATCCCAGGTGCTCTGTAGGTTCCCCTTCTGAGGAGACTGGCCAGCTATCTAAGCAGACTTCCAGTCCTTGGAGACCAGCTCCAGGCAGGCGGGGCATGAAGGGGCAAATTGCATTCCTTCCTGGACGCTTCCTGCACCAGGAGGCCTGGGAGACATGCCTGGGCACCAAAGAAACAGCCCCATTGTGGCTAGCACCCGAGGTCCCTGGAGCATAAGGGGGTGGTGGCTGGACATAGGAGTGCCACGCCTTCTGGGGGAGGGAGGGCCCCCCGGGCCCCCTTGCTTCCTTTCCCCACTGCCCCTGTTGTGCAAACAGGTAACAGCCTATCAGATGTCTTTGCCTGCCCAGGGCTCAGAAAGCACCACTGGTCAGCGGGCTTGTCCCCTTCCCAGGGCCTGTGCAGGACCCCAGATGCCGCCCCCCGCTGGGTGCAGAGCTGGGGCTGGAAGGAGGTGGGCCTTGGGCACTGCCCCAGGTGTGATCCAGGCCTTTCAAGCCCAGCCTGGGCCCTCTGCCCCACTTCCACTGACCACGAAGCCCCCCAGGGCATGTCTGGTGCCCTCAGGGCTCTCGGGTGGGCTCACATCTTCTTGCAGAGGCCAGTGGAGCAAAAATGCTGGCTTCATGTGTCAGACTGGACGCTGCACTGGGGAAGTCCCATGTGACAAGGAGGGGGTCATCGGCCCTGTGGGCGGCTGCAGGCTCGCCAGTCAGGGCACTCTCCTCTAGAAGGCCCAAAGGGGCCAGGGAGCAGTAGAGGCTGGAGCAGGCCCCGGGCAACCCCCCTCCAGCCCTGGACCCTGCCCATCACATGGCCACCTTGTCCCACCCCTCGACTCGCTAAGGCCAAGGCCAGGAGGGGCCTCTGCATCAGCAAGCCCTTTCGCCAGTAAGGGCCCCTCCCACCACCACCCCGGTGGGCCTGGTGGGGCTGGGGCGGTAGAGACGGGGAAGGATGTGGGAAGGGAGCAAGCTCCGCCCGCCCCGGCCCAGCGCGCTTGGCTTGGCCGAGGGA